GGAACCGCCAAATCCCTGAGAGATGCCGGCTTGGCTGTCAGGTACCACCCTTTCTGCCGTGTCTCCGCCAAAGATGCTCAGTTTGAGTCCTGGGGTTGCTTAAAGTGGTTTCTCTGTTTGGAAGCGAGAAGGATTGAAAACCGCTCAGAAAGCAAGTCTTCCTTCCCCCCCAAAAATAAAATAAAATGGAGAAACACCTACCCTCAAGCAAATTTCAGAACTGTCTTGGCCAGAAGTTGGTTGACTGAGGCCAAGGAGTGCTGCCGCGCGGGTCAGCGCATCGAGGTGTCGGGAGCGTTGCGCTGGGGATGATGCCTGGTCTGCCCCAAGCCGGCTTTTTTCCCCCGTGAGGTAATCGGTTGTCTTGAATCTGACCCTGGGGTTGCTCTTCGCAGCCTTCTGAAAGCTGATCTTCGCCTGGTCCCAAGACAGGGCTGACACATGTCAGGGGTATGTTGAGGCTTGCTGGAGATCACTTGTCACAAATAATTTTCCCAGCATGATGGCCAGCTTGATCAGGAAGAGCCTTTAAGTTTTGTGCATTCACTTCTTGAGAAGGGACGTAGAATCATCATCGAATCATGGAATGGCCTAGGTTGGAAGGGACCTTAGAGATCATTTAATCCAACCTCCCTGTCATGGGCAGGGATGCCACCACTGGCTGTTTTGGCCCACGATTCTGGGGAAACTTTAGTTGCTTCCATGCTGTGATTAAGAACCAGCTCCAGCCAAATAAAAATTATTTCCAGTGCAGTGATGAGAAAAAATCTGTCAATTATTTGGCAGGACAGATGGCTGTGACTCCTTTTTTTGCTTCCAGTGAATGCATGGTAGGCCTGTGGGATGTGTCACCAGGAATATACACCATCCCCAGAGCTACCTGTTACTGCTGATACCCAGCACTTGGTGATGTCCCTCCAACTTTTTTGGAAGTTGGCTGTGCAATCAGTGAAACCTGAAGCAAAGGATGGACACATTTCCCCTTCTCTCTCCAATTTATTGTTCTTTTACCATTTTAAACAGTGAAATAGTGTTTTGGCTATGGCTGGGAAGAAGAGTAGTGAGGTATTGCTGCTTTTGAGGATGGTCATCTGCTCTTTCTACAAATTATATTGACTTGGGATTTACTTATCTTTGTTATTTCAGAGTATTTGAGAAATAGCCACACTGCTTAATTGAGTGTGGCCCGTGAACTTGTATTTCCATTCATGAGAAAAACAGTCGTTGCCTCTTTGACCTGTGGTGGGGGCTTGTAGTGAAATTTATATGTTGTGGGTTGTTTTTTTTTTGGTTTGGATCACTTAGAACACAGTGTCCTTTCTGTGTTTCCTGTCAGATGTAGCTTTTTGCTTAAGATACAGATCAACATTTTGTGAAGAATGAGAGAGAATTAAACCAACATTTTGGCTATTTCTACTAATCCTTCTGTACCTAGCAGCATTTTCTAACTAGTTCCCAAAAGCCAACCGTAACAAAACCAATCAGGTCTATCTTATCACAGAATGCCTCATCTCAGAACTACTTCCCAGCCTCACATAAGAGAGATGTGTCCCAGTCTATCACTCAGTGTAGGTTTTTCCCAGCAATTTAGTAATATGCCTTCTGTGCGTTGTGTTCTCACTGAGACAGAAGAAACTGAAGTTTCCAGCCTCCCATAAGAGAGATGCGTCCCAGTCTGTCACTCAGTTTAGGTTTTTCCCAGCAATTTAGTAATATGCCTTCTGTGCATTGTGTTCTCACTGAGAAGCTGAAGTTTAGAGAAGTCACACGTGTGTTTTCTCTCTGACTTACCCCGTGATTGACAGAAAAATGGTGGTGGTTTGTTTTTTTTTTGTAACAGGTGGACCACTGTTTTCTCTCTGACTTACCCCGTGATTGACACAAAAATGGTGGTGGTTTGGTTTTTTTTTGTAACAGGTGGACCAGAATAAGACTAAGATTAATTTCTACCTTCTTACTGCCTTTAAAACTTCTAGGAATTAAGTCTTCTTCTAGTAAAACCAACAGTAGATCTAAATTACTGCCCTGTTGGGAATAGTAACCATTCAGCTTGTAGGTAAAGTTGGTATGGCACGTCTATTATCATGCTGTGTTTTCTTGTTGAGCAGAGATGTTTCGGACCTGACAGGATTCCCTGAAATGTTAGGTGGACGTGTGAAAACTCTTCATCCTGCAGTCCACGCTGGTATGTTTCTGCTAATATATTTTCAGTATAAAAGAGGAATCCACAGGCAGTGAGGGTGGGAAGAAGCGGTTGAGAGATGTCTTTTTTTAAGGGTTGTGTGGAAGAACCAAGTAATGAGAACAGATTTGCTGTAGCAGCGGAAAGAGAGGTGAAAAGCACGGGGTGGAGAAGTGCATGGTGGCTGAATTGCTTCCTCTGTTGCTGTGCTGGCATCTATGCCGTTAGCAGAGGTTTTTCCTCCTCAGGGCTACAAGCAACAGAGTTTCTCTGTAAACGTCTTCGTATGTTCTTTGCAGAGTGTGTTTCAGACTTAGGCAGAGCGCTCCACTGGTTTTAACCTGTGGAGGAATCGTGCTTAGCATAAGGAACATGACAGCGTAGTCTTCCGTGGGTGGTTTCTGCATGCTGTGATATTCCCTGGCTCCTCTTCAGTAAGGAGGATGTCTGAGAATTGGTCAATCTGCACCTTAACACATCTGCTTCCTCATCTCCTGTTACGGTGCTTGAGATCCCTTGAGCAGAACCTGTTTTCCATCGTGCTTGAGGGTTGGAGACAGTCTCCTCTGATGACCTGGAACCAGGGACTGCCACTGCTTACTCTGTGCCTGCGTCTTTCTCCAAGTTTCTACACGCAAACCAGCCACCTACGCTGCTGCTCCGCTAGAGGCACGGCCTCTCTTGCTTCTGTTGTTCCCTGGGCTTTGTGTGTTGTTTGCTGATGAGCGGCAGGTGCCCTTCTCCTCTCCATGAACTCCTTAATGGAAACTTTAGTGTTTTAAGGGTAGCAACTGAATGTTTACGCTAGAATTTAGAATTGCAGGAAAAAAACGCAACCCGTTAGTATGGAATTTGAACAGCCAAGGAGTCAGTGAAATGGAGTAAAGGTAGAGGAGCACAGGCTGAGGAATGTTGTCCGAAGTAGAATCAAAAAGCTTATGATAGTCTGAAGGAAGATGTTGAATTAAAAAAATGCTGGTGCTTTAACTATCTCTTCTAATGAAGATGTACTGTTTCTTTAACTAGGCATTTTGGCTCGCAATATTCCAGAAGATAATGCTGATATGAACAAACAGGATTTCAGCCTTGTGAGGTAAATGTTGGAGGACATGTTGCAATTCATTGGCAATCAGAAATAAACTCTGGAGACCAGTCAGCACCAGTGAATGGGAGCAGTAGGGATTGTAGACCTTCTAGTGGGAAGGTGTTACAGTCTCCTTCCTTTCCCCTGTCAGGAGATACTATGCTTTTAAACATAAGATTTTCCACAGATGCATCTTCATCACTTGTAGTAACAGAAAGCTAAACCAAGGAAGTTACATTGTAGTTTCCACAGGGAACAAAGGTTCATATTTCTTCTGGTTATTTGGGAATTTTTAGACTTTACGTTTAGCCAGTGTTGGACCACGTTACACTTGCAGAGTTGACGTCAGTGCTTTACAAGCTGATGCATCTCCCCTCAATTTGGCTCTGGGTGTCTGATCAGATGACAATTCCTGATTTTGAAATACTTGCTTAGTAAATATACCTTTGATATTTGCATAATGTTTACTGAGTTTCAACACATAAATAAAGAGTCGATGTGAAAAGTGGGTCAGGAACACACATCACTTGGTACAGGCGGAAAACACACAAGATAACAGACAGAAGGCTTTCTTGGAGAGCCATCATGAAAGTGAGCAAGCTGCAGCCAGAAGCTGAACTAACACAGTTTGTGCACTAACATACCAAAGATTTATTTTTTTTCAGGTTTTGTTGGAATGTATTTGCTCAGTACACTCACACAGGGCAGTTTGGGACTGTGTTTAGCTGATTGGTTTTGTCATGTAACTAGTGACTGTGCGTAACCAATTCTGTGTCAGCGGGTAGCTCCCGGTTTAGAAATGAGTGGCTGCACTGAGCACAGTAAATTGTAGGTAGAGCCAGGATGGGAGATACAGTTTGACTGTAGTGAATAGGCCAGAATGCCTCTTCACTTTTAGAATGATTTTTAAAAACTGGCATGCCTAGGATGGATGGATTTCCAGGCTGAATTTGAAAACCTGAGATTTAAAACTGCAGGAATCCTCATAGATGGCTCAGCAGTGGTGGCTCTTGAGAGGATGCTGCATATTAAAGCAGGCTCAGCTGAGATGAGTAACGTGCCTTCACATCAGTGACTTACAGTGTGCTTGCATCTGGAGTAATAATTTGGATTTGAGTTGTCTTGCATAAAGCAGAAGGAGCTGATCCTCAGCAGGAGAGTCTTTGAGAGTCTTTATGCAACTTTGTCTAGTTGCATAAAATTTACATAACCGAGTCAAGATAGGAAACCTTGGTATTGATTGTCTTGACTTCCGCGGATAAAAGCATTAGCAGCAGTAAAGTCCACAGATTCCTGATGGTTTGCAACAGTTATGGAGTGTGAATGGACTGAGGAGGAGAAGCTATTAAAAATAGAACAGACAGTAAAAGGCATCAAAGGAAAAGTGGAGACACATTGTGGATTGATTGTACTTTGTTTGCAACAGACCTTGCCCTGGGTGCTTACACTCTTGTGAAAGTTGGTAGATGCCTGTTTTCAGTACTGCTGAGAGCCCTCTTCACAGTCCTTCCAGACGGCTCAAGTTGTCCACCAAAATCACTAAACATTTAATCACAAGCCCCTGTATTTAAAGGAACTCGTTGTTTTAATTAACTTCTGTAAATTGTGGTTCTGTCCACTGTAATGCTGTTCAATGTGCAGAGGTCAGTTAAACTGTGTAATGCGTGTGCTCTTTCACCACTATAACATCACTTGCCCTTTGGCTGGACGCCACTGACAAATGTTTTGAAGAAAGAAGCCTTGGCTACAGGGTTTCATGTTGGTCCCTAATCTGAGAGATAAGACTGTAAAAATGCTGGTAGTACCTTGTGCCTTCCAAGGCTGGTTTTGTCCTTTTTTATTTCTCATTGAGTAACCCTGCTTTTTCCCCTCAATTCTCAGAGTTGTAGTGTGTAACCTCTACCCCTTTGTGAAGACTGTATCTTCTCCAGGTGTAACTGTGCAAGAGGCAGTGGAAAAGATTGATATTGGTAAGTTCAAGGATTAGCAAATCTATTCTCCTGACAGACTTGATACTTCTTGTCTCCACGTGGTCTCAGTTCTTTTTCTGTTTGGTGTTCTTTTTCGATTTTTTGGTGTTTTGGTTTGTTGGCACAGCTGTAAAAGAAGGCTGCTGAAGGGCTCAGGAGTTGCAAGGAGCAGACTGAAAGCATAATTGGGTAAACCTCATTGCTTTTAAGCAGGTCTATGATTAAAATGGCAGGAGGCTGCTGTAACGGACTGCCAAGCCACGCTACATAGGTGGGCAAGTCACGCTGACCACAAGAGCGAGCCTGATGTACTGTAGAAGGCCACAGCTGTAAAAGAAGGCTGCTGAAGGGCTCAGGAGTTGCAAGGAGCAGACTGAAAGCATAATTGGGTAAACCTCATTGCTTTTAAGCAGGTCTATGATTAAAATGGCAGGAGGCTGCTGTAACGGACTGCCAAGCCACGCTACATAGGTGGGCAAGTCACGCTGACCACAAGAGCGAGCCTGATGTACTGTAGAAGGCTGTGCTAGAAGAGCCAGGTGGAGCACGTTTCCTTTTTTTTGCAGATTGAACTTCTTTTTCAGCCTCTGGCAGTGTAATGAAAGTAAAAATCTGCGAGCTTTGGACAAAATAAGCTGCACCACTGGAAGTGCTCCAGGGATTGCAAAAAACTTCACTTCAGGATCAAGGAGAGGGATTGGTCTACATCTGTGGGAGAACAGTTAGGACCTGTGTTTGGAAGCACAGACACCTGTATCATCAGCAGTTCTGCTCTTCCTGCTGGTTATTAACTTGCTGTTCCTTCACTGCAGTGTCTCTGCTAGGCAGCTTGTGAACAACATAGGCACAATTTTGTGCCATAATGTTGGACTGAGATTGAATTTTCTTGCAGTAGTTTGGTCCAAATGATGCCCAGCAGAGCTCTCCATTAAATGTTTTGTTGAGTAATACTCACTCTGCATGTAGTAGTGCCAGCCTCTACTTTTCCTTTGCAACAACCTACTATCTTGTATGATTTGAAGTGTTATAGGAGCTTTGCAGAGTCAGACTTAAGGGGGAAGCGTGGAATTTTATCTTACGTGGAGAATCTGGGCAGGATTCATTAATATTTGCAGAGAGATTTGGGAACCTCTGTTGCTTGGCAGTGTAGAAGTAAATCTTCCTGCAGACCCTTCCCCAGCCCTGTGTTGCAGAATGATGCTTAAGTGGAGAGAGACGTCCTCTTCAGGACGTGTCTGTGCTGCTTGAGTATGTTCTTGCCGATGATGCTCATCGTGACCCGTGACCTCTTCCCTTGGCACCGCAGCCTGTGGCTGCAAAGGCCATTTGATGTGTGTCTTCACCAGTGGATTGAGTCAAACTCGCCATCCTTGTGCGTTTTGAAGAGCACTTTAAGAGTCTCTTCTCCTTGCTGGTGAGAGGGGAGCACGTTCATCTGGCACAAACGGTCGACTGGCGCATGTCCCTTCTTGGCCTCACACGTAGCTCTTGATTGTACCACGTCTAGAGGGAAAGTGCTTCACGCCTCCATCCTTCCCTTGCAGGAGGGGTTGCCTTGCTGCGGGCGGCTGCCAAGAACCACGCTCGTGTGACCGTTGTGTGTGACCCTGCAGACTACTCTGCGGTAGCTAAAGAGATGGCGACATCAAGGGACAGAGACACCTCTGTAGAAACCAGGCGTCACCTTGCGCTGAAGGTAGGTTGCATTTGCTTGCCGTGAAGGGCTACGCCGGATTTGTGTGCCTTTTGTTTGTTCAGCTTTTTAAACACCAAACTTTGTAAGTTGATGTTTTTGAGTTGATGGGTGTCCCCCCGTTCCATCCCCAGGCTTTCACCCACACTGCTCAGTACGATGCAGCCATCTCTGACTACTTCAGGAAAGAGTACAGCAAGGGGGTGTCCCAGCTGCCCCTGAGGTACGGCATGAATCCTCACCAGAGTCCTGCGCAGCTCTACACCGTGAGACCCAAGCTGCCCCTGACAGGTGAGGCCTAGGCCACGCTGGCCAAAAGGGAGCTCTGGGCTGGCTGGGGAAGGAGGTGGTTGGACCTGTCTGCCAGTTGCTTTTGGAACCGAAATGCCCTCTTGTACTTCAGTCCGAGGGTTGGCTAGCAGTGCCTTAACGCTGCTTTGTTACTAAGAGGCACTGGCTTTGCAATGAGCAAGTTGGGCTGTGTGAGACAGGAAAGCTTGTCTGCTGACCCCCACAAGGTTTATGGTAGCTCTGGGTTCTCTCTTGGTGTGAAATTGTGACCACACTGAAGACACTTTGTGCAGATTCACGTGCTGCACCTTCTGCTTGACATCAGATCCGTATTTTGCAAAGGAAAACCATGTTATCCTTTTAAGAGCCTTTGCTCCTTTCCGTTTTCCTTAGTTAGTTAGTACCTTCCCAACCTTTTTGTGTCACCATGTGCTTTTTGTGTTCTTCCTTGGCAGCACTGCCTCTGCACCTCGGTCAAAGTCAAGCTCTGGTAAGCTTCCTCAGAAATAGATGGCGTTTGTTCCACATGGCTGCCAGTTGAAGAACTCAAAGAACATAAGGGAGAATGTTCTTTTTTTCTTTTGTTCTGCTTTTACAAGAGAGGAGGTGCACGGAGTCAGCATGTGTCTTGCTCCAAAATCATGTCAGCAGCTTCTAGTAGGGAGCAGAATTGAATTGGCATCTTCTGAACTTCAAGACTTGTTCCTTACAAGTCACAGAAGCTTTTCAGGGTACTTAACCTTGCTGAGGAGCCAAGAGTCATTTAGCAAGAATAATTCATAGTGATTTCAGTTCTTGGTGGGAGAAATCTCTTCAGCTTGCTGCCCAAATTGTGGGGAGCAGCCTCCGCCTGATCTAACGTGTCCATTTGTGTGCTGTTGGCAGTGGTGAACGGCTCTCCGGGGTTCATCAACCTGTGTGACGCTCTCAACGCCTGGCAGCTGGTGAAGGAACTCAAGCAAGCGTTGGGCATCCCCGCCGCAGCCTCCTTCAAACACGTCAGTCCTGCAGGTAGGGTGGCTCCTCGTTGCTGGGCTTTTCTCTCTGAACAGACCATGCCTTTCGGTGTGCCCTGCCAGTGGTGTCCCTGTCCTTGACCCTGGTGGTCCGAGTTGGTCCCAGGGGCAGGGACCGGCGAGAGGAATCCGGTTTGAGTGCTCTGGCTCGTGTTTCCCGCTAGGTGCTGCTGTTGGAATACCTCTGAGCGAGCAGGAGGCGCAAGTGTGCATGGTGCACGACTTCCACAAGACCTTAACGCCCTTAGCGTCTGCCTACGCGCGAAGCCGAGGTGAGACCCTCAGGACTAAATGAGCATGTCCAAAGAGCTGAGCACGGTTCTCTGGCCGAGCAGCATGCTCCATGCTTCACACTTCACAAACTCTTGTCTCCATACTCTGCTCCTCCTTTATCAGATTTTTCTCCATAAGGATCTGACCGACTAAATGAACTGTCTCCCTGCCTAAAACCAAACCTTATATATTGTCCCCAAGAGGCTAAAGTCATTTTGGATTCCTTTCCTTGATGTCTGTAGAAGACCTATGGAGATTTTAATTTTTTTTTAATTCAAATTCACGTATATAATTGTGAGAGGTTTTGGCTAAAGGATCTGGATAAACGGCTGTGCTGGTAGCTCACTCAACCTTCCACTGCAGATAGGGTGCTCAGGAATACTTAATTTGAATATAAATGTTTCTGCCTGGCATTTAGTTGGTGGCATTTTAATGCTTTTTTACTGAGGAACTAAAAAAAAAATTTCTAAAATTAACTAAATAAAAATAGCTTCCTCTGCTTAGCTGAGATACTTTGCTAAATCTCTTGTTTTCCGTGGCATTCCTAGAAAATCTGCACAGACTATAGAAAACAAAGCAAACAGACTTGATAAGGGGCACACTGGTTTGGATTCATTCTCACCAAATTAAAGACCGTCTTTGAATGTTGCCTTCAGAAAATCATTGTATGATTGGTAGAAAAATACACCATTAGAATGGCAGGGACAGAAGAATTGACCTTGATAAGTAGTAGAAGATCCATGGTTCACCTTAACTATGCCATTAAATACAGAGAGTATTTATTCTGGAAAAAAAAAATTGCTTTTAGCTACATTTCTGGGTCTGATTTCTTGCAGGAAAAAAGCCAGGTGGGAGCATAGGCATCTAAAAGCTTTCCTCTTTTTCCAACTGTCTCCCATCTAAAATCTTTCTGTGCAATCCTTGCCTTGCCTCATCCTCTTGCCACCACAGCCACAGCAGAGATGCTTGCGGCAGTGAGGGTAGTCATTAGAGGGTTAGAGCTTTGATAAATTCAGTGAAGAAGGAAGAATATCTGAAATGTGGGAATATTTAAAGGTGCAAGTGTTTGAGGTAGGATTTTTCATCCTTGTTGCTCTTGTATGACTTGTTTATTATTTACTGTGGGATTAAATTATTAGCACTCCTGGAAATCAACTGGATTGTAGGAATAAAGACTTTTATTTGCATTATGCTGTAGTTTGATAACTTACTAAAAACCTCATTTTGCAGGTGCTGATCGGATGTCGTCTTTTGGCGACTTCATTGCTCTTTCCGATACCTGCGATGTGGCTACTGCCAAGATTATTTCCAGAGAGGTTAGTTACACAGCACCAAATCATTGGGGTGTGAAAAGGAGAATCCCACTAGACGTAGTCATTGGGTTTTAGCAGCCATTCTTTTTGTATTTGACCCGTTTCACTAAAGAGTGTTGATTGGGCAGTTTGTGTAACTCGATAGCCAGAGTGCAGAATTTACACTGAGATCTTTCCATGCCTTTTCCTTCCTACCAGTTAAAACTTGACTGTGTGAGAGGCTGTGAAATACCAGTGCTTGAAACGCTGCTTTCCAAGTGATGATTGCAAACCTCAGCCTCCGAGTAGGTCTCAGGAAATGAACCCTGATCGCACTGTTGCAATTATCTGGCCATTGAACGGCGGTAATGACAGCAGCAGAGGCCAGAGAGCCGAATGCCACCCTCTTGCCCAAGGCAGGCATTGCTCCCTGCCACCTGGTGCAAGTTCCGTGTAGGCTCAGCTTTCCAGGCTGCACTTTCTGCTTTTCTGGATTCAACTTAAGAGAATCACAGAATTGTTGGAGTTGGAAGGGGCTTCTAGAGATCACTGGTCCAACCCTCCTGGTAAAGCTCCGTAGCTGAGTGCGTTGCACAAGTCACTTGTTTAAATACTGAGTTAAACAACAGGGAGTTAATGCGTTACCAAATGCGTTCATTTGTGAGAATAACATTTGGTGTACTATTACTTAAAAACAACCCCCCCCCAAAAAAAGACCACCTATGGTGTAGGATAGGAATGTGAAAGGTGTAGATTACTTTGTGGCACTGATGAATGTAAACTCTTCAGTTTCAACGCTGTTAACAGCTCTTTTGCCAATGTTTTTGCCTCGTCAGGAGTGTCACTGTTGAAATAACAATTTGAGGGGGGGGGGTTTAAGCCATGTTTACTGAGGGCTGAGAAAAGTGAGCATGTTGTGCATGAACTGTTTCTCCTGGAGGGGAGATATTAGTTATTAGTTCCATTCTACTTAAAGTGGTGGTGGGATATTTTTCACTAACTCCTGCCAAGAGCTGTTTCTGGAACTGAAACCGGTAATGTAGTAGTGCCTTTGGTATTGTCTGGTCAATATAGACCCTGTGAGATGTGCCTTCAGTGCCTTTTTGGAAACAGTGGGTGGAGCTTTTTCAGTATTAGCCCCTCTTTTTATTTTATTTTTGTCACGTGGAAGCTGTAATCTGTGTGTTGCAGGTATCAGATGGTGTGGTAGCTCCTGGCTATGAGGAAGAAGCTCTCAAAATTCTTGCCAAAAAAAAGAATGGTGGTTACTGTGTCCTCCAGGTTTGTATTCCTGCTCAGCTCTAACTCTCCTGTTTCTCTTGTAACTGCTTTTCATAGATGTTAGTGTCCAAATAGCTGGGGGCCTGATCCAGGCACCCCTACAGTGCATGGAAGTGGTTTCCTCTGGATCTTTTGGGATTCCTGTATGAGCTGGAATTCCACCAGCAGTGTTGTGGTTGCATTTAGCCTATAGTCCTAGAGGGGAGTATTTTTATTAATACCTTCTTTGGCTTTCAAAGTGATGTGGATTTAAGGTAATTAAATCTATGAACCAGCAAGAATACTTCAAAGAGACAGAATTTCTGTGTTCTCTTTCCGCTCTTTGCCAGTTTTCTGCTCACTTCTGCTGAATTTGTTCCCTCCCCAAATTCTTTGTATCTAAGATAGAGTGCTTCAGCGATGTTGTGAGTCTTGGCAGTGAGAAGGGTGTGCAGTGTACTGCTGGGGGAGGCCTTGTCTGGGTGTGTGGTATTTGTAGGGACAGACTTTAGCACAGTCAGTGATGAAGATGGCAGCAGAGACAGCGTTCGGACCTTGAATGATACACCTTTATGTATTGCAACCAGGATGCTTGTCAAGGAATATTAATAGAGTGTGATCAAGTCAGCATTGCATTGCCTTCCTGGCTCCCGCAGTGATTGTTGGGACTTCAAAATCATCCAGTTTTGGTGATCATGACTAACAGATTACAGAATGCTGTCAGAGCAGCCAGACTAGTCCTATTTCTGCCTGACTTGGAGAGACAAACTAGCAGAGAACTTTACTATAACATTACAAAAGAAAATCCAAGGCTGGATTGAAGTTGTGATTGTAGCGTTACTACTGGGGAGTGCTGTAGAAGGTGGGTCAGGAGCTTCAGATGAGAAGGAATGAAACTGCAGATAATCTTGGCAGCTGATTTCCTCCTGAATTCAGTTAGCTTTGCAAGGGCTGTATGTTCAGGGCCTGTCTGCAAAGGGATGCGAAGGCAAGTTGATCTGAACAACTTTAAACGGATTAGGGAGACCACATTAAGCGTATGCATGCTCCTATTTAGAGCTGGTGGCCTTAATCTGGTTTACTTCGTGTCTCGATAAGATGAACTGGGGCTACCAAAATTTTAAATAAGCCCATGCACGGGTAAACCTGAATGCAGTTTTACTTTACCTCTTGCACTGACGTAAATTGACCGTGCTGCGTGCTTGTTTGGAGATGTGCCCCAAGAGAGTGCGTCTCTGGAAATAATTGCGTTCACTGTTAAATGCTGAAGAGGGCTGGGAATTGTGCCTCGAGGCATGTATGAAGCAGCTCAAAATATTTCTACCTTCCTGTGGAATACTGGAAGGCTCTTTTCGTGGGGGTGTTTTTCTCTTCCTGTGAAAGACTAGAAGACTTTGTAGATTTCTGTGGCTCGCAACATGGGCATTTGTATATATTCATGTACACTGCATTACCTCTCCTCCCCCTGTAAACGTCACTTCATGCGGTTGAGACCTTGCTGCTCCAGTTAATTCTAATCACTTCTGATGATTTGACAGTGATTTGTATAAACATTTCACTTATTTTGAATTCTTTAGGTGATGTATTTTAACCTAAGCTACTGCTGAACGTTGCCTTTGAATTGCTTTAAGAATGTTTTATTGGCCTGTCCTTTGGCTTTTAGATGGATCCCCGTTACGAGCCAGACGACAATGAGATTCGAACCCTCTATGGATTGCACCTCATGCAGAAGAGGAATGATGCAGTCATTGACCGGTCATTGTTCAAGAACATTGTTACAAAGAATAAAAATGTAAGTGTCAGATGATAAACGAGCTTGAGGACTGGTGGAATGAACTGGTGTCCTTTCATCACGGAAGTCAACACTGTTCTATTTTAAGGGCTCTAAAAATGTTTTAATGAGATTGAACTGGCTCTTAACAAAACAATGCAGCAAACTGTCTGGACCGAATATACTTGGGTAAATCAGCATAGTTCGCCTTTGTTTTGATTCCTTGCATAAATAAGAGGAGCTGAATCTTGCCCTTTATCTCAGACTACCAAAATATTTTTATTTAGTGTTTATAAGAAGCTACCGTGTGTAATTTCTTATGGTGAGACTACCATGTGCTAAGGATCCACTATGACCTCATTCTTACTGACTGTTTCTCCCTTTTTTGTACAGTGTGTTGTATAAACTCTGTCCTTGCTGATATTGCTTAGCATTTAGAGTTCACATCACAAGGAAATTATCAGTTATTTCTTTGTCTCTGATCTTGTCCTCATTTAAAAAAAAATAAAATGTCAGTGAGCACATGATTAGTCATGGGCTCAGAAACAAGTTCAGACACTGAGGTAATAAAAATCAGTTTGACCAATTAATAATGGAATGGACTTAAACATAATACTCAATGTGGATATTAGGAGCTATTATTATTATTGTGCTGGCCCTGTGTGTCCTTAAGCATGTGCTCATTTCGCCTACGAGCATACCTGATGACGGTGAGCAGAAGGAGAAGACTTTGCGGGCTTAGGGTCAGTGAGAGAGCCCTCTTGACCTGGTACGACTCTTATCCCTCTGAGCTATGAGGTTAGCTGCCAAACCAATCATTTGCAGTTTTTAATCTGAACAAAATTTGATCGTAATTGAACCAACCAGGAGATTTTTCGTGACTTTGTTTTCCTTCCCCGTGATATAGTACTGTTGATGGCTTCCAGGGCTTTGCAGATCAGTAACCAGCTGGCTACTCGTGGTTGTTAGCATGGGCTGTTGACAGTGGCCTTTTTCTTTCAGCTGCCCGAGTCTGCTGTCCGAGACCTGATTGTTGCCAGCATCGCTGTCAAGTACACCCAGTCCAATTCGGTTTGCTACGCCAAGGATGGGCAGGTAACCAGCTGGGGCAGCTCTGCAGAGCCACACTGTCACAGCCAAGCTGGTCAGAGCGTGCTTTTGTCAGGCTGGGGGTTTCAAATCATTTAGTGTACAGGAAGCTATTAAACAGGTACACATGAACTGCCCTAGCCAGAACGGCCACAAAACCTGTGGTTCTCAAGAGGGTGCTTCAAAACCTCAGTGTAGTTTGGATTTTTTTTGTGGTAATGACAGGGCTGGCCCTTTCAGTGATAGAGCTGGAAAAGCTCTCACGTGCTTCTGCAAGTTTGGCCTTGAGTCGTTTCTAACTAGTCTGTCCTCCTATACAATTTTTTGGGGGCATGTACATATGTTATACTCTGTATAGAGCCTTAGGAAATGACTGGATTTCACAGCTGGATTCTGACTGCTGAAATGGTTCTTAGTTTTGTTTTCACTTTTTTTATAAGAAGGATTGGATGTTCTTTCTTTTTTCCCCTTTGGGGCAGTAGTAATCTAGTCTTCTTGATTTTTTCCTTGTTTGTTTTTTTTTTAAAAGCTTATGATGGATGTTGGGATTTTTAGGAGCATTATCAAATGTGTAGCTGAGATATGAATCGCGAGTTTAAAAAAAAATCCTTTCTTTCCAAGTTATCACTAGGTGTTCAGCTTAAATCAGTTATCCAAAACCTGTTGTAAATCTATTAAAAGTTGTATTTTTGCCCAGCAGCTCATTCTCATAATACAGCTGTTTAGCTGGTTCTCTGCTCTTCATGGTAACTTTTCCATAGGCCTGGATTATTAAGAAAAAACACAAAAAAACCCAAAAGAGCAGAAAAAGACAAAGAATGCTTTTGATCTTGAGCTTGAGTATATTGTAAATCAGTAAAATGGACCAAACGGTGTACCCTGCAGGAACAGGCTGTGAATGAACTGCAAAAACACTGTCCTTTTTGCATCAGTACTCCCCTGCATTTGTCAGATGGTTGTTACAGCCTGAAAACATTGCACTGCTGTCTCACGGCACTTTCTGGGGTCTTGTCCTGTACGGCTCTTGTAAATGTGTCTCTGGAGATGTGGCATTTTTCTTTTATCTGGCTTCGGGGATTTTTTTTCTTGCTTTCAGATGGTTGTCTGTGCTCAAGAGTGTTAGTTCTCATCGCCCCAGACCACAGGGGTCGCTATCTTTGCTCCTTTTCCCTTGCTACAGCAACAACTTCCTCAGTGCTTTTGCAAGTCTGGGCTTACCGTGGTGCTGCAGATGTTTCTGAAATGAGCGTGGTAACGCATGTACCATATGGAAGGGAGAAAGCATGAGGGGGAGTGAGGAGCACTGTGGGCAGACGGGGATTGAACTAGCTGGGCTTCACTGATGTTTTTGCGTATTTGCAGGCATATATTTTAATCAAATACAGATGTGCGTTGTCTTCATTTGTTATATATGTGACAGGGAAGGCCAAAATCAGAAGTCACAGAATCCTGGAATCATTTAGGTTGGAAAATGCCCTTAAGATGGAGTGCAACAGTAAGTCTGTGTACTGCACTAAGAAACAAGTGACTTTTTTTAACTGTAAAGGTCAGCAGCCGTTACAGTCACTTAATCAAGGAGGTGGTGAATCTCCATTGGGGTCTTCAGATCAAAGCTTAGTGTCTTCCTTAAGAGACTTGTCACAGTCCAAATGCAGAAACAGCGGTATCACATGCTATAGGTAGTGATGGAGGAGCTCAGATAGGAGCTCCCTTCTGGTTTTAAAATCTCCAAGGGCTTCCTGAGACTGTTAAGTATCGAGACCACTGTTCTTCAGATGCAGGTGGGGAAGGAAATAAGTCCCACTGGAAACCAGTCTTCCTAAGATAGTGGTTCACTTGGATTCTCCTTGCTGATGCTGTGCAGAACTAACTAGCGGTCACGTCAGCTACTGAGACGTACCATCAGAAGCCTACAGGAATATGTGGGTACAAACCAAAAACCAGCACAGATCAGGAACAGAAATGAAAAGTACCTTCCAGACTGTTACACTTAAAATGCTTTTCCAGGCTTTGACTCATTTTGAGATATGTGAGCCAAGCCTGGGAAGCCCAGCTTACTTTCAATTCTATTGCTTTTGCATTTCCAGGGGTTACTTCAGCCTCGCAGCATCTCTGTCGCTTAGCAAAACCTTTGTGTGCCAGACATCCAGAATGTTTTAGACAGCTTGGCTTTGTTCAGTTCAGGAGTGGATTGGCAACTCCAGCAAGGGCTGATGCTTGTGTTAATAACTTATAGGAAAGCATGGAGTGAGAGAAGGCATTTATGGACTTGAGTGGCACTTAATTTGCAGGAAGCCAGCTGCCACTAATTACAATAAACACTATTGCTTGTTCTGTCTGACTTTTCAGCACCGAAGCCTGTCTGTAACGTGTTGATTTACACTTTCTTTAATGATACAATCATGTTTTAAATTAGTAATTCAAGATTATTCTCTTTCTTTAATCACTGTGCAGTAGGATAAAACAAACCTGTTAATCTACCTTGCTGTTTTCTACCCATGGTGCAGACATTTGTCATTTGCTTTGTTGTTTGTTTGTCTTCCCAACTGTCAAGTCCTTCATTTAATTTTTATAATTTCAAATGTATTTAGAGTTTCTGCTTTCACTTATTATTCAGCGTAGGTCTATGTATCCTGGATCGTTTTGCAAGGATCCTTTGGGCATTGTCCATTTTGTCCACTCCGTGCTTTTGCGCAGCATTTGAGCTGTCGGGCAGGTTTGGCTTTCCTGCAAGCCAGAGTGTTTTGATCAAGCAATTCTTAGTTTTCACCCAAGCTGGTTTTATGAAGTGATTTTTCTACTCACCCTGTATTACTGTCTACCATTACTCCTCACACTTAATAGGCTCTACTTAAGTACTTTGTGATTCCCAGGAGATTAAATTCTGAAAGAAACTTAATTTTTGTGTAGAAAACAGACAGAAAATAGAGGGGGAAGGATTCTCTTGTGGAGGATTTTGAGTTTCAGCTGTGTTTTCTTAAGAGAGAAATAAGGTGTAGGAAGAAGCAAAAGAGAAAGAAACACAAAGTGAAAAAGGGGGAGAAGAGATACATTCGGACATGCCAGTGTACCTTCAGGTACAAGGCTGTAGTTTGCATTAGCAGGAGCTCAACTTCCTGATTTCTCTTCTTGAGACCAGAAATTCCAGGTTAGACTGAAGATATCTTCCCCTTCAGTTTTGCATCAAAAAATATTTTCTTACAAAAAAGGATTTCACTTTCTCTGGATCACCCATTTTCTAGTCAAGTGCATCTTATCAGCACATTTTTCCAGGTTGTAACTGTGAATTTCCATCTAAAATAATGTGGACTCATCAGAAGGAGGCGGCTTTTATATCCTTTTGCCCATTAAGCCATTGTAAAAACTTCCCTATGATGCAGATAATCTCTCTGTAGATTTGGGGATGCCTGTGAGGAGTTTACAGGACACGTCACTTGAACTGAAGTGCAAAGCTTCGGCCATTTCAGAGTTGTTGAATATAAGCCAAAGTGCAGTTACACATCTTCTGACAAACTTCAGGTCACAAAAAAAAATACTAAACATTTTGAGTAACTCGGATAGAAAAGAAAAACACGCTTTTTGGGAAGGGTGATTGGTGCTGACAGGTAAGAGAGCTTGATTTCTAACAGACTAGCCAGCTCCATCACCAGAGTGCAAGGCCACAGCTCACAAGTACATGGTGAAGATGAGGCACCATTCTGGCTGGGAAAGGGCGTGGGACACTACGCTTCTGCCACACAACATCATATTTTTCAGAAACCTGGGATGTGTCATGGTCTTTTGGCTTTCGTACCAGCAGTCTGTGCAGTACTCTCCACCATCTGCATCCCCAGCTAAAAATGTTTGCCTTAGCCTAGCCTGGCTTGCTAGGGCTGCTCTTAAGGGCTGAGTGATAGCTAATGGTGTGCTGTGTATGGCAATTTTAAGCCCTCTTCTTTGTGCAATGAGAGAGGAAAAACTCTGGCAGACACGATAGACCAATGTGGAGATGCCGGGTCCCTGCATGTTTGAAGGTTAAACATGGTTGATGTGAGAGCAGAGGTTAGGCATCAGGAGTGTTTGTGAGGGGGAGGCTGCCACTAAGCCATGAGAAACTTCGCATCTATTTAGCATTTGTGATAAACCCACAAGGATGTTAGTATTACTAAGCAGTGATGACTTCAGTTACAGCTGAGGAGATGGTATTAGGTAGCAACCTAAGCCTTTTGTTTACTCCTTGGAGGAACAGTATCCAGCAGCAGCATGTTTTATGGTTCTGGTAAGAGGTGAAGTCACTGTGTCTTGATGAATGAGAAGACAAATGATTCATTCCTTTGAGGACAGCTTTTGACTTATAGCTTTACCATCTGTTTCAGTATGAGCTGGAAACTCTGAGGCACTGGCCAGAACCGCTAGCCTCAACACGGTGTCCCTGGAGCAGTCTGCCATGCGAGCAGTCTGGTGAACAATTCAGCTGTGGCTTCATAGGAGGAGGAAATTATAGGAGAGAGACTTGTTTTCCATCAGCTCTCTGGTTTGAAATGGCAGGAGCTCTCTCTGGAAAGCAAGACCTGCAGCTCTGAAAGCCACAGAGAAAAGTTTTTCCCAGCCCAGATTTGACAGCCATGGCACGTCACGGCAGGGGCAAAGCTGAGGGCCAGCAGACAATCTGGAACCCAAGAGACCTTAGCTCAGTCCCTTGTGTTTGCCAGCTGTGACTGCAGGCACCCCACATCTGCAGGGGTTCTTCTGCCAGTGTCTGGTAACCAAGATGTCCCTGCTTACTGCAGGGGGGTTGGACTAGATGACCTTAAAAGGTCCATTTCAACCCAACGCATTTTGTGATTCTGTGTTTCCAGCCACATTCAGGTCTCAGTGGGGTCAGCACCCAAGAGTTGCCTTTGTCTCCAGGGTGGGTTTGCCAGCGCAGGTGGGATGCAAGAGGTTTTTGCTTTGCGTGTTGAATTGCGAGAGGTGGCTCACCGAGTTACTTGACCACCAGACTCCAAAGATGTCTCTGCATATTTCAATCTACAATGTACCTGAAAAAATGAACGGAGGTAGAATGTGTTTGATGAGATCTCTGAAGGAAGTGATCTGATAAAAGCAAGTGGAAACTGAGCAAATAATGTAGTTTCATAACAGCTTCCTTGAGGAAAAGAAATCACCTTTTGGATTTTGCTTCTGGAAGCACTAGGTCTGTTTTATTTAATAGCACTTGTGTTTGATATTAGGTTAGCAGCAGTTATTTTAAAAAAACCCTGGACTCTCTGGCAGGTGGCAGAGTAGGAAATGTGTTGGTAGCTCCAAGGCCTTGTCAATTTGTGCTACTGACCAGCCTTTCTGATTGAGCCGTGGATTTACTTTATTAGCCTTGACAGACAGACTGTCCTGTCGTTCACTACGTATCCCAGCTGATCTGTTTGAGCTGTGTATGCCTAGCCCACTAGGAAGGAGGATGGCGTTAACTGAAGTGCTCTTTTCAAGAACAGGCGAAGGGATTTTGTTTTGCCTTAAACAAAAGCCCTAATTGTGTCACTCTCCTGAGGTTAACGGTTTGACTCTGATAGCTGGGGCTGTGTTGTTTAGAAGGATGAAAGAACAGAGCGACTGTCAGCTCAGCAGAGCTGTGCAAGTTAGCAGTGCAGGAAGCTGACCCTGTAACCAATTTACAGGATTGCAGATGCAGGTATTTTCAAAGTTTTTCTTGCTTATTGCCTACACTCTTTTTCTGCTTCAGTGAGGAGCAGCTAATTTGTGGGAGGTCTTTCCTAACACAGCTCTGACTGTGATTTCTGTGCAGCAAGGTGTGATTGTGGTTTGCATCTATATGCTTCAGGTCATAGGTATTGGAGCTGGCCAGCAGTCCCGGATCCACTGCACGCGTCTGGCTGGGGACAAGGCAAACAACTGGTGGCTCCGGCACCACCCACGTGTGCTCTCCATGAAGTTCAAAGCGGGCGTGAAGCGAGCAGAGATCTCTAATGCCATTGATCAGTATGTCACTGGGACCATCGGTGAGGTAAGGCCTGGCTGAGAAGCTTCCCTGCAGAGCCCAGCTTCAGCAAAACAAAGTCTTCACACAGTACTTAAGCCTGGCTTGAGTTTGGTGCATGGCTGTCCGTACTAGATGATCCCAAAGAGCTGGAGGATCAAGTGGCCAGGGCCCAGGATGGCGACCTCCCCAAGCTCATTTAAGGGCTCGGTGGCAACGGTCCTGATTTGCCCATCTGACACTGCTCCAGGTGCTGGAACCTGTCCCATGCTTTGGTGTGCAGTTGGTTTTGTCTGACAGTTCTCCCCAGCAGTAAGGAAGGGTTAAAGCTGCAGTTGGTGTTTCAGCTCTCACTGGCCTGTCAGGGCAGCTATCCTTCCCTTCTCGCATGGTGCCATTTGCTTGTGTGGCATTTTGGATTCTCAGAATGCCCCTGACTAGGAAGGGTTAAAGCTGCAGTTGGTATTTCAGCTCTCACTGGCCTGTCAGGGCAGCTATCCTTCCCTTCTTGCATGGTGCCATTTGCTTTGTGGCATTTTGGATTCTCAGAATCCCCCTGACTTCACTGTTATGAGCAATAGTGAGACAAGAAAATAGTATGTCCTTTTTGAGTATTGAAAGGCAAGAACTGGATTGGAGACCTCGTGAATCATCTCTGTGAGCAGTTGCTTGTTTAAAGAGGTAAGAGCTGGAGCAGTCGCTGTTTCAGAAGGTGAATCGTAAACCAAGCTGCTCTTTGTCATGTGTTAAGTCATCTACCAGATCCCATTTGCATGTGCTGGCCTTTACAGTGAGCAGCATACTGCAGGCAGGCCAAGGGAAGCATCTTGGAATTAAAACAGAGAGAGAAGTAATCCCTTGAGCCCTGGGGTGAGAAGAAGGAGTTAAAAGAATGCGAAGAAGAGCTGATGGTGGTAATCTGTTTCCACCACCATTGGGATTTTAAAATCCCTGCTATGAAGTTCCAGGTAGCAGCACCATGGGACCAGAAAGCCTGGCCGAAGTGAGTGTCGGAGGGATGCCATCGTCACTCCTCCATACATGCCCCTGGCCGGAGCCCACAGGGGACTGCCAGGACTGCCAGGAGCCTGTGCTTTGGGGCTGAGCTGCCTTCTTCTGTTCTTGCAGGACGAAGACCTGGTGAAATGGCAGGCGATGTTTGAAGAGGTGCCTGCACAGTTAACAGAAGCGGAGAAGAAGCAGTGGATTTCCAAGCTGACTGCTGTCTCCCTCAGCTCTGATGCGTTCTTCCCTTTTAGGGATAATGTCGACAGAGCTAAACGGGTAAGGTCACAGCAGGCCAGGATGTCTGGGTGACTCCAAGGAAACATCTGTGCAGCTCAGGCTTTTTATTTTAATTTTGTGTGGACTGCTGGGGAATCTCTGTTCTGCACTGCTGACTAGAAAAGCACATCCTGGGAAGGGTGTTTCTCGCGGTTACTGGTCTCACTTGGGTGGCAATTATCCAGCCATTGCTCAGTTTGTTGATCTGGGATGACTAGAGAATTAAAGTTCATTAAACCGTTTAAGAAGATTGAGACAAGGCCTGTGGCTTCCAGAGGAACCATTTGACTCATTTCTGAGCTGTGGAGGGAACTGACTGCTCATATGAGGAGCTCCTGTGGGAACTGCTGTGGGCAATGGAAGCCTTTGTTTGTTCTTAGTGTCATGGGACGCGGATGAAGGTCCTGGGCTGCCAGTTCCTTTTCAGGGGGATTTTGGTTTCCCATCCTCTAATCCTGCCACTTGTCTCTGTCTTTGTTCAGAGCGGAGTGCAGTTCATCGCTGCCCCATCTGGCTCGGCTGCTGACGAGGTCGTGATTGAAGCTTGCAATGAGCTGGGGATAACTCTCATTCACACCAATCTTCGGCTGTTTCATCACTGAGTTTGCCGCGGGCTGATGCGGTCCCTCCTTGGTCACAGTCTCACCAGCAGCAGCAACTGGAATATCGGCAGCTCAATTGGGAGGCACCTGCGGTCTGTGCTTAGCAAGCGTTTGTCAGAGCTGTAAATGAGATCTTTCCCCAAGTTAACAGGGAAGGAAGGTGCAAGAAGTTGGCCTCTAATGTAGAAAATAAGTCTCTTTTGCAAATAAACTTACGGTTCTTAGCTATGTAGCGTCTGTAGTCTTGTGTCATCCAAATACAGTGTCCTCAGTTTGATTTTTTGAGGTATGTTTTATGGTCCAGACTTTATATTCATTAGAAGGCCTCTGGAATAGTGTGAAAGCCCAAGCTGTTAATGACCTGATGAAACTCTGTGGAGTAAACTGAACTGAGCTGCGCTTCTGTAATTCATTATAGAAGGATAATTCATTATCCTTTCCCTCTGTGAGGAGAGGGGAACCAGTCCTTTGTGCAAGGCAATCTCAGGTTTGGGTGCTCTGAATCCTGCCCCAGCTTTGTGCTTTGGGCTGAGAGGCCGTGTGGGATTGCTTTCTTGGAGGTAAAAGACTCATTCCTGCGAGTCTGACTGCTTGGGGGGGTTCGATGCAGAGTTCATAGGCAGGCAGCTGGGAAGCATCTTGCCCGAAGCCACTTCCCCTCTCCATTGTGCTCCATTTGCATTAAGCAGATTTGAGCTCTGATTAGAAAAACAAAGTGAAAATCTGGAGCACACAGAGATGAATATAGTAACAGCCCAGACACGTTTTTTGCTGGCAATTGCTGTGACCATTTCAAAAGGTTGTGGGTTTTTGGGTTTTTTTTTGGTTTCGTTCTATAAAATCTGTTCATTTTTGGCAAAGAATGGTCCACAGTTTTGCAATAAACACTTCTGTCACGGCTCTGATCTCAGCCGGTAGAGAGCAGAAAGTCTGCGTGTATTCCCTTTGCTCAAGCAGGCGCAGGAGTGCGTAGGTAGGACATGGGCCAGGAAGAGGGAAAATTCAGGTCATGTTCCTGGCTCTGCTGTTGACTTGCCGTGACTGTGGGCGTGTGTTTTATTTTACCTGACTGCCTGTTTGATCCAGAACTGAGGAATGCAAAGGTATTTCCTGGGGGATAAGAGTTATTTGAGATATCATAATCCACACACTGGTTTTCCTTTAACTCTGTCATTCCATCCACTCTATGTACATGTGCCCCCCTTGCCCTCCTTATGTCTGAGGCACTGGGCACTGCCCAGGGATTCTGTGCGCCCAACGCTGCCCTTGCTCTGGCCTGAAAGGAAGCAATCTTCTCTCTTCTCTGATCTTCACAGTAGATTATTATTTTCTTTCCTGATCTCTGCAGTGGATTATTTCCAAGTGGCTGGGTTAGGCAGGACAGGGTAGAGAGGATTCTATTTTTTGGAGCCAGTAGTCCAAAGTAAGTTAATGGCTTGCCTGTTGGCTGTGCTAACCCAGGCCCTGGCCCCCAACTGCTTTCTGTGCTGTCGCTTCCTGGGGTTTGGCCCTGTTTGGAGTCTTCCCTGGTTTATTAGCTTATACTTTAAAATCTGGGTTTCAGACTCTCTTTCACCGTTGTTCTATTCCTGTCATGCTGTTTTGACCATAGCTGGTACATCCCATGCTGCGAGGTTCTCTTGGGAATCTGTTTGCTTGTTCTTTACCTGCCTCTAAAGTGTTGGCTAAAACAAGAGACTGGTAACAAGCATCTGGCAGCTCCTGTTCTCATGCATCCCTGCTTATCATGTACCCTTTGTTTGCTGTCCTTGGGGCACTGTTTAATCTGCTGATAGAAGTTAATAGGTACTGATCTTCCAGATGAAATCTCTGCATGAAATGCTGGTAAATGTCTAACTAAGGTGATCCCTACCTAAGGCTTGTCTCGCGTCTTACCTGTGCTGAGCAACATGCAATCTCCTGTGAACATAACATCTCAAAACATCTCACAGCATCCATAGAGGGATGTTATTGCTTCTTGCTGTGCCTGTGGTAAGGGTAAAGGACGTACAGGAGTCATAGAGAATTGGGGAATCATCCCAAGCAAAGTGTCTTTGACTACCCTGCCTCACTTGTCTGGCTGAAGGCTGATGAAAAGCTCTGGAGTAGTTCCAGGTGTGAGGTGACCTCACAGGAATGCACTTGTCACCCAGGCTGCAGTGACAATTTCAGCTAGCCTGAAGCCTTTCCTTGGAGAGAAACCAGCAGGGCATGAAGCCTGGCGCTTGACTGGTTCCTGTTTTGGGCAGGATGTCCTCGTAGGATTACACAGGTCTGGAAGTGAGGGCTCCAACCGCTGCTCCGTGAAGGCTGGGTCAGGAGCTGCTCTTTTTAAGGTGCTGAGAGGTGCCCTAAAGCGGGGGACCCAGTCCTTGCTGGTAACAGGTCCCTGCTGACAATCATGCTGAAGAGCTGTGAGCCCTCCCCCAGTGCAGAGGGCCAAAGGCATGGTTCCTTGTAAGAAAGGGCTGTGTTGGACTGCAAGGGTTCCTTAGGAGGGATCTGAGCGCCTGCGAGCTGAATGAATGACTTCTCCCTTTGATAGTTGCAATGATGAAAAGTGAACCGGATAGCTCTGCTCAGTATCTGTTTCCCATAGGGAAGGGCATGTCTCTTCTCACAGCGGGGATATGTCTGTTCCCCTCAGTTGATGTTTTTGAAGAGCAGGCTGCTGACAGGCAGTTTTGCACTGTCACCATATGGTGCCTTGCCCCTGGCAGGTCCTGTGCTGGCCTCAAATGAGAACAGCTCCCAAACCGCTGCAAGGAACCGGAGAGGAGGGAGGAATCATTCTCAGCCTTCACAGTCAGCAGCAGAGGATTTTTATATTATTCTTTTTTTCCTTTAGCCACTCTGATCCTTGCTGGAACAGAGTCCTGACTCTGGTTGTTCCTGTGCTCTAACTGAATCTCAACACGGAGATGCACCTCCTTTTCTGGAAACAAACAGCCAAAGGGCTTAAATGCCACTGGGCTTGTTGTAGCCTTGTCTGGGAGCGTGGGGCATGTGAAAGCACCCTGCTAACAGGGGCAGGTGTTCCCTTCATCCCTGCCTTGAAGGTTGGACATCAGGTGATCTTTGCACTCAGGTCAACTGTGGATATGAACAGAGCCTGTGTTTTAAGGTCCGGATGCTGTTGTGTTGCCACTTTCTGCACTACAGCCGGGATGAAGCATGGGAAACCTTCAAAAACCTTGGCTCCATTTGTTGTTTCTAAAAGGAAAGACGCGTGGTTGATGCTTTGCATCTCATGGATTTCTATTGGCTTTGTGCTGTGCTCTGCTAGTGGTTTTCAACTGTAACTGAAAATAAAAGCTTTAGCTGAATGACAGAATACCCAGCACTGCACTAGTAAACGTTAAACAGGACTTGTCAGCAATGTCAACCCTCATGCTTTAAGGTACAAACAAACCTCTACAGAGGGCTTAGGCAAATGCACTGTTTAAATGGGTTTATCTCATAATGCTTACTGTGGGAGGGAGAGGTGTTTGTTGTGCTACAAGTGATTTGGTGTTAGAGCAAGGAGATGAGATGGACTGTGACTCCTGCTCAGTTGGGCGATTCCTGTGTGTGAATTACTTACAGACAAAGTGACTAAGTAGTGATCTTTGCAATTTGTGAAAACCAATGCATAACCCTCAGTTGGGAAGGTCAAATTAACAGACCTGCAGTTTATCAGGAAAGCATTCTTCTGTGTCTCTGTCTGTGCCATTTTCAGTTCACACGTATTTTAAGTACTCATTTGGCTCTTGAACACTGGTGGGATAAAACCCATTTCTGCTGGTTTACTATTTGCAAATGTTTTGGTTGCTCTATAGATAGCAATCTGTGAAAACAACTGCCATGTGTGTTTCTCATGTCAAGGAGCCAAATTCTGTTTTCAAGCTATGCTTTATTCAATCCAGAGAAATCCATTGACTTGAGTAATGCAGGCCTTGAGAGAGGAATGGGGCCTGAGGAATCGTGACAGAACCTTTCATGTTCCGTATTTGCAAATGCTGTACAGATTTTTTGCAGCGTTGGCAGCACAAGCTCAGGGGACTTATTGCTAACCTCGGTCATCGTAATCAAGACTGGTTTGGGTTTAAGAAAACAGCTTTCGAGAATTTCATTTACCTCCCTCGCCACCCCACAAGGCAGAAGCACAGCCGAGCTGTAAGCGGTCTTTGCCTGTAACACATGGACACAGACCCTGGTGCTGTCTGTCCCCTCTGTTTTGTGACACTTTGTGCAGAGGTAAGGGAAGGATTTCTGTGCCATTCGTGCAGCAGTGCCCAAGGCCACGTTCACTAGCACTTGAGCAGCCCCAGTTCTGCAAATGGAGATGGAAGAGTTGAAAGAGAGGTGTGATAGCCCCTCTGTAAACCCTTGAGATGGTTACAGGTAAGTTTTGCCCCATTGCAGAAAGGGGTGAACTGTGGTCTGCCTCAGGGGCAAGGCACGGAGCAGGGTCACACAGACCCAGCACCCATTTGGAATGGTGGGGGTGTCACCGAGTCCAAGCGTAGTTAATCACTGAACACATTGAGCTTCACGGGTGTGGGCGGCCTCGTGAATTTTGGCAACTCAAACACCGCAATCATATTCAATTCTAGCCATTGAAGCACCAGGCTGGATCGAGGACCATCTCCACCTCAGCTGATATCCACAGTGGGGAACATTTTTTTTTCCCTCCTCCCTTCCTCTCCTCCACTTATTTGCGCAAAGCAAGCCCCTGCCTTCTGCAGCGTGGCATACATACTCAGTGTCTCTGTGCAACACTGGGGCAGGGGGTGCAGCTGGAAGCCTTTAATTAGCAAACTGCTCTACAAAGATTCTCTTGAGGTTTACTTCGTGCTTCATTGAGATGTTTGTTCCATCTTGTTTCAAGGCAATGTTACTCCAGCTCAGAATAATAATCTTCATCCTAGATTCCATGGTAGCAAAGAGAATCACTTAACTACATGCCTGGTTTGTAAATCTTTTTATTAAAAGAGTTGTGTTTTTTTCTTTTCCACAGTAGTAAAGCTTTGGCATTTAAAGTATAAAAATAATCACTGATCATAATTACACCAAATTCCTCTTTGTCAACTGCATACTAAGTGTCTTCAATACATTTTATTCCCATATAAAAACACTTGAAGGTCAGGGGAACAAAACTGATAAATAACAGTATGAGATATAAAGATACAGCTAGAAAAAATACTAGGATCATTGAGAAAGAATTAAGACTGTGCATATTTTAAATATCACAGTGATTGGATTTGCTGTTCCTATCTTATTGCTGGCTGCACGCTTATGTGAAAGCAGAAGTGTTCGGTGGACTTTCCTATCTCTAAACTTCAGTAATGTTGTACTCACATGTTCTTTGCATAGCACGGGAACCT